CACTTCTACGAAAAGTCTTTTTTCCCCCATATAAAATACATGGAGAACTTTGAGCGCTTTGAGCGACCTCGAAATATTTTTTGATTTCAAAATAAAAAAAAATTGGGGGAATATTTTATTCTATATCGAAAAATCCGAGGGGTGAAAGCATTAAAATTCCGACTTTACTTATTTTGGGCCACCCTAATGTACATATGTATGTACATGTGCACCTACGTATGTATGAATGTATGTATGTAGAAGCACTTGTACATATATAATCATGAAAAATTTTTTGGCATTTCGAGAAGCAGTGTACAGTGGAAAGTGGATATTGATGAAATTGTTGAGTGCGACGACTGAGTGGATTTATGTAATTTTAAATTAAAAGTCTATCTTTTAATTCTGTATGTTTTTGTAAGCTCTAACATGTAAAATACTTGAAATCGCGTCGGTGGCTAAATTTTTTAAAAGTTCTCAATTTCTAAAAAAGTATAACAAATTGTTTAAAGTTTTTCTATTGCTCTGCAAGTATTTTAACGATAAAGAAATACGTGAAATTTTCTCTCACAAATGCACATAAAAGTGGTAACAGTTTGATGATTCGAGTTGCAGTAACACACACACACATGCACGCATACAAGTCAGCACTACCCCTTTGAGAACTGGCTCTGAACTACTGCAAAACGTATGCAGAGCACGACTGTTGAAAGTCGGATTTAGCTGATGGCGCTGTTGTCAAAGTTTTCCAATAAAAACGGTTTACATGAAAAAAAATTCCGATTAAGTGATAACTTCCTCCTTGTTTTGAAGTCGGTTAAAAATGAATAACAATAATAAGGGGGAAAATCCGAAAATGAAACTGCGAACTTTGTTTCTATGTAGTCAAAAAGTTTTTGTCCACAACAAGCTCCCAGCTCCCTCTTGTGCTGTTCCCCATAGATGATATGCACAGCAAGGCGACCTGGACTACCATTATTATGGCGGGACACGTCCAGACGATCACGCTACAGTAGTACATAGAAGGCTCTAAGTCTCGTAAGAGTATTGACGCAGGCGTATATGGCCCTAGACGGAAGCTGTTAGTAGCCATGGGAACCTTCCCAAGTATCTTCCAAGCATAAGTTCAAACCATCAGTGATAGTCAGGCGGCACTTATAGATCTCTCATCCTTCGAGGTCAAATCCTCTGTGGTCCTGCAGTGCATCGAGAAGCTTAATGCCCTTACTAGTCATCAATACTATACAGCTAATATGGGTACCAGGTCACATGGGAGTCGAAGGAAATGAAGAACCCGATCAGCTAGCCTGACTAGCTGCTGCCTCGAGCCTGATAGGACCTCAAGCCTTCCTTGCGTTGGGTCCTAGTGCGATAAAGGAGCCGCTCAGATATCAATCTGAGGGTACTGCATTGGCGTCCTAAGGTCTTATTAGGGAGGTACAATCTAAAGAGACACAGGCTACTTATAAACGCCGCCGAAGAGAGGCTAAGAATTATTTCGGGTATTTTGACGGGTCACTGCAGGCGTAGAGGTACATTTATAATTTGGGGATCTGGTCAAGCGATCTATGTATGTTGCTTTTGTGACTCCACCATTGCACCTTCTCATGGAGTGCGAGGCCGTCACGAATAAGAAAGAGCTGTTTAGGACATAAGTATTTGGCCAGGAAAAGACCACATACACTCCCTGCCCCGAGATATATTAGGGGTATTCTCTCAGTCTTCCAAAGCCCTTGCGTGGTGCACAGATTGAACGGTTTGCAAAGCTGTCCCATACGAAAACCTGCAAGGGCTTTGCAAGACTCGGAGAATACCGCTATTCTAAAATGCATAGTCTCTACGGCTAGATTAAGTGTTGTGATAAGCTGAGGGCAAAATAGACCTACTGGTTACAGTGCTTACTGTATTCATATCTATCTATCTATAGCATTGCAGACGGGGACAATTGCAATTAGCAAAGATCCGTTTTTGAACTAGTTTGCCGCGAGTTCCGAACCAGTTCGATTTACTGCAGGGTACACATACACATACATACATTCTAACTAATAATATGAATGTATGTGTGTTCACACGTACTTAGAGAGAGAGCCATTAAAATATAGGTTTTTTTTTTTTAATCAATGGAGGAGACTCACTTGAAAAGCGAGTTTGCTCACATCTCTGACATTTGCTTTCTATCTGGCGAACGACGCGGACGCGAAAAACACAAACAAACTACATAAAGTAGAAAAAAATACAATTGTGTAGCTACTTTGAAGCAATCATTCTTCACAAGTAGAATACAGAATTGATATGAGAGTTTGGTTTTAATTTTTCCGGAAACGCTCAACGAAAGCAAAATCGCAAATATTTTTTAACAAAAATTCGTAATACAAGGTAACAAGGTGGCAAAGTGGTTTCGTGTACGAAAAGAGAATTAGGACAAAATTTAAATAAAAGTAAAAATTACAAAAGAGTTAAAAGTGAATACGCACACAGCCATATGCAGCATTAGTGCAAGAACAAGTTATTTTTTGTTGTATAACAACTCAGAACTGTAACGAACACAAAAAAGTGTGTGTTTTTCTTAATACAAACCCTAAATTATGAACTAATTTTCCAAGCTGTATTCAAAACAACAAAGCAAAAAGATATAAAAAATAATAAAAAAAAAAACATAGAACAGAAGGACTAATAAACTAGAGCCACTGCAAGTAAACACAGCAATTAGCGGAAATCGATTGTGTCGCTGTGAATTTGAGAAGAGATTTTCAAGCCCGTTGTTGGTCTATCTACCCATCCGTCGGTCGTTCGCCTTCTGGAGAAGCGCTCACTTTGCTGCACAGCTATCTAGTCTTATTAGAGGCAGTCGCTCCGCCAGTCTGTCGGTCGTTCTGTCGTTGGTGTGCCGACACATCATTTTTCTTTTATGCATTCTCCCCCCCATTTTCGATTTTCTTGAAGAGCCCACAAGACAAAAAGAAAAAAA